GGCCTCAGCAGATGGCCGCTCACACTGAGCCTGGTTCTGCTGGAGGTTTCTTCCTGTTAAAAGGGAGTTTTTCCTCTCCACTGTCGCTACAAGTATCTTTAGTGTGAGGGATTGCTGAAGAGTCAATGAGTCGATGCAATCAGCTGGTTTTCCTTAGATAGAAAACTTTGAATCAATCTGTGTGATCTAGTGAACTGTAAAGTGCCTTGACATGACATATGTTGTAAATTTGCGATATAGATATAAACCAACAACTGGAAACGGGTGTTACAGCTTCGACCCAGTTTGTAAATTTATTGATAAAATTGTGGGTGTATTTTTTCTTATTTATATATAACAATCAACCTTGGGTTAACTTTGTGTAAGACAGCTATTTTTTTATACCCTTATAAATGCTTTTTGGAAAACATGATGTCTTGCCCCCTGGTCGTTCAGTCTTGTATGGACTAAACCATTTTGCATCTGAGGGCCAGTAGATGCCCCTTGAATATCCAGTATGCTAGGTGAACTGTACATAAGGTGAATTATCTGAATTCATCGATATATTTTTTAAAAGAAATATGACACCAATTATTTGGAGGGCCCAGTTCATAAAAAAAAAAAAAAATGTCCCATGATCCAGCGTGTACCCCACGTTGCCTTTGTCTGCTGTCTTAATTTTTGTATGCAATAAATCTTTCTCTATATTGATAGTATTAATCTAAATATATTTCTGTATGCTGCTCCTTTTTAATGTGACACACTGAAGTGTTTCCTCTTTTATTCCAGAACCTGCATCAGAGTGTCCCACTTCAGCTGACTTCAAGACTGTTTGAAGTTTCTCATGGAAGAAAAAGTAAAGAACAACCTTTCTGTAGCATAAATGGTCCAAGAAGAACTACATGCAAGAAATGCTAAACAAAAGGAAGACAAAAATGAACTGAAATACACAGAGGTCGTTATACTAATTTAGAAAACATTCTTAGACTCATTGGTCACTTTACTCACCTTGACTTTGTACATCTTTCCTATAGATGTGTTGCTAGACCAAGCCACTGTCTTCTTTCTAGTTAAACTATATCTAGTTTAAGTCGTTAAACAGCCCAAACAAGCAACTGCCTAAACTCTGTATGATTAAGCCCACTACTGTCTTACATTCTCATGTCAAAGCTTTTCAATTAGCCTATCTGATTTTAGGATAATACTTTGCATACCAGTCACTATTACTGCAACTACTACCACTTCTGTTACTGCAACCACTACCGATCCTACTTTCACTACAAATAATAATTATGATGATAATAGATATGAATATATATAATCATATATATTGCCTTATATATTATTATTATAATAATAGGTAAGAAGAGAAAACATGACATAGATCACATTTGGAGACAAAGATGTTAATCATTTGCTTCATATATGTAATCAATAAATGATATTTTAAGTTTTAAGTTCTGTTAAAGTAATGGTTTTCTTTTCTTTTATTTATTTTTGAAGAAAATATTGGGGGTTGTTTTATTTAGTAGAATTTTGTCAGTAAACCAAACCAAACCTGTACCAGAGTCATATGCTGATATACAATTAAAGGAACACTTTGTAATCAGAGTATAGCATCAAGTTAATTAAAGTTCTGGGAATATTAATTTGGTCAGGTAAGTAGCAGAGGGGGTTGTTAATCAGTTTCAGCTTCTTAGGTGTTAATGAAATTACCAACAGCTGAACTAGAGAGGCAACAAGGAGACGACCATCAAAACAGGAATGTTTTTACAGGTGGAGGCCACATTTTTTTCCCTCCTCATCTTTTCTGAGTCGTTATGCATTTGGCTAGGGTCACTGTCACTACTGTTATCATGAGGCGCTACCTGGACCCTGCAGAGTTTGCACAGGCAGTCCATCTCCTCCAGGAT